TTTTATTGCAGGAATATAAACCAATATAAGCCCAAAGAGATAACGTTGGTTTTTGCTGCTACGTGTATTAGACCGACCACTCTTAACTATACTCGCTTGGTTTCTAATATGATCTTCTAAGGGGTTTTTCGGGTATACTTATAAGGAAGGGATTTGGGGGAGAAGGTGAACTTGGTTCTGGTGACGAATTGCTGGACAGGCCTTTGAAGGGACGGTCAGTGATCGATGAGTAATTTGTCTTTCGGCTTTATGGGGTAAATCTTAAGAGTGACTTGGTGACTCGATGTCAATAGGCGGTTGGTTACCCAACAACAGAGCAAAAATGTTTTTACTAAAAGAACGCTGTTTAATAATTCATCAGTCGAGTTAAATCACTGCTTACACAGGGTGGACCAATAACTTTGTCCACCAAATCTTTAAGTGGTCGTGCACTCTTCGTTCACCAGATACATCCACGTTTTCGCGCCAAACACTGTTCATTCACATCTCTATCGCTCCCGCTTAGCCTTCGTTCACGCAGCTATCGCTCCCGGTTAGTCTTCGTTCACGCAGCTATCTCTCTAATGTAAACATTCACACGAAAAATCGTATCACACGTCTATCCCTCTGGTCCAAGTACTCTTCATTCGCACGTCTACCTTTCCGAACTAAACACTCGCTTAAATATTTATAATTACAATCTATCATTCTCACAATATGACTCTCGATTGAGTCTGAGTCGAGCGTGAATGTATACTTCACTCTCGAGCAATTTTTTTCTTTTTTTTTTTTTTGATTAAGGTCACATGCACCTTCTGAGGTTATTAGTGACCACAGTGAGTTTATTCAGTGGTGCAGTCTACAGTAGGTGGTATAAACCAATATCTTTCAAGAAGTTTATAGCTCTTTTACTTGAATCTTCTTTTTGAAGCATGGTCAGTGAATTCGGCAAGTTATGTTGGATCCTTTTCATATTGTACTTTGGGCAGGTTATCAGGATGTGATCGATGGAGCTTCGAGCAATTTTTGTTCAGAATGAATGACTCGAATCTTGACTCTCGGGCGAGTCTTACTTGTAACTGGTGGCTTCTGTAAATACCGAATACTTGATTCTCAGACGAGTCTATGAACTGTGTGTTAATACTTGGTTGAAACTTCTCCTCTGGTGATGGTGTTTGCGCTTATATAAACTCGGTTCGGTTTCCATTGGCTGTTCGATGTGTGTAAGTGGAAGGTGTCACGTGTGCCAATGGTGCAGGCGATGTTGATGGGTGTATTCTGAAGTGGAATCGAATTTGTTGTTAATATTATCGATCCTCAAGAACGATACCTTTTACGACGGGAAAGTTTCTCACACCTTTGTTACCTGACAAAAAAGTACGAATTTTTAATGTACCTGTTTAAACAAATGTATTTTTGCAAAAAACATAATGAAGTAGGTGAATTCGTAATTGAGAAACGCACAATCTCTATATTTAAACCATTCCCCTGTCTCTAATAGGAATACCCATCGACCCTTTCGTATTATCCGAGTTTTCGATTATTATTTGAGATAGGCTCGGTCCACATCACCTCCGATAATCGAGACTCTACTGTAGGTTCTTCCAACATAAACGACTTAAAATCGTGATTACTTTCAGGATGACCTAATAATAATAGGAAAATATTATTGTGTGATTTTTGACTAAGAATTCAGTGCCTGTTATTCGACAACGTAGCAAAATCACACGAGTGCAAGATTTTAGTAAAATTAACAATTAAACGTGGTAGCGCGTAATACGGCAGTTTAACTTGAGAAAGTTGAGTAATACAACATGGATAAAGCTGTTGTATTGTCGCCTAGGAGAAAAGCTGTTGAATTATCGCCTGGTAGAATATCTGTTACTGTCGCATTGCACGCAGATGGCCTTTTTACGCGAGCAATTGCAGCCATTTAACCAATCAACCATGTCGGGATTATTCGAAAAGAATAAAGAGACGGGAAGTTTGAATAAGGTCAAAGGAAGAGGCTGAAAAAGATCGTCCAGTGTTGCAAATATTTGAGTTCTGAAATGAATTTGCTTAAAAAATAGTCGTCTGACTAGAGTAGAATGAACCTTCGGGGTCGAGGGGTCGGGAACCTTCCGGAGCCGAAGAGCCGTTTCAACAAAATAACGTAGAAAAAATAAAATTTAAGGAGCCGCAATTTTAATTTAAGTTTAAATTCTTCAATTTAAGAATCGCGTCGAAACATTTACTTTATTTTTTGGGGGGTAACTGTCGGTTCTGTGGTGGCAACAGCAGATTTTTATTAAACATTTAACAACCGCAGGTTCCCGACCCCTGCTCTGGTCGAACCGTAAGAATAGACTCACCGAACTAGGACCGAACGCCAGAAGATCAAAGAAAGCCATTATTAACAACAACAACAAAATTAAGACTGCTCGCTTAACCCTCGGATGCCGGGTCAAATATGACCCAATACTAAAATCTCCCGTTCGCAAGCGAGACTACATTCCTTTATTTTACCAGGTGTTATGTCGTTTAAAATTATACAAACTAACAAAAATATTTATATTATAAGGAGAAGAGAGTTATCTGTTTCGAATACCAGTTGAAACAATTGACGTCTAAAAGCTGGGTCAGCGGTGACCCTGCATCCGCCGTTCGAAGGTTAAAGTGGGCTGGAGTAATAAAACAATCGTATATTCCAGGAATGTGGTATCAAAATGAAACGAAAATATACAAGGGTGATCGTAATTATGAAGCGGGTGACAATGTTTTACTCTTTCTCTCTTTACCTTAGAAAGTCCGTTTTTAGGTCCTGCAAAACACGCCCTTCGACGCAAGGCCGAGTTTACCTGCGCGGAGAGACTCACCCTGGGTTTTTCCCAAGTCACCTTTGTCCGGGCATCGGGTAACATCAGTATGACACATTCTATTATTTATTCCTTGGTTTCCTCAAGTACCTGAATCGATAACGATCCCTAATTAGAGCGTTATTTACCTACAAGAACTTTTAAATAGGGTATTATTTACACCGTAATCCTTACCGTCGTCAAAAGTGCCATTTAGTGGTCGATGTTTCTTTTTCCTGTAAACGACGATGTTGACAGATAATTACTTTATGTGTAATGAATTTTGTACAGGAAAATATTTGATCACAGTTCAGAATAGACATACTTAAATATAGCTAATTTTTGACTGCATGTACTTTAATTTTTTAGAGTAAAACAATATGGATCGGTGCAGACTGGTCATATTTTCACCGTTATCTTGTAGTTTTGGTTCAGTTCTTTGACTTCTGTAAAAATCAAGCTACTTTTTTTACAGTTCAATTTTTGAAGTTCACGAACCGTCCGTGGACAGTCTGCAAACTACATAGAGGAGGACGGTTTATGGTTTACCATAAGCAAAAATTACAGCTGCCAGATGTTAAGGATTTAGTTCTAGATATTTTCGTGACTGCTGCAAGTTGAAAACCTTAATTACTTAATTACCGAAATTACTTTATTACGCGTGAGAGGATTTACAGGTATAAGTATGTACAGGGTGTCTGTTTTATCTCAATACACCTAAATATTTTTTAAGGAAGTGATGTTAGCAAAAAAAATGTTTTAACAAAAGTTGTTTGAAACAAGGGGGAAAATTATGTGGCATAAATATTTTTTTTGTACCGGGTATGGTGGAGGAGATTTCAAAATTAGTTTAATTTTTTTAAATGGAATGCTATATTTTTTTATAATATAATAGTGTATGTTAAGACGAGTCCAACGAGGTGCGAATAAAATCACTAGGTACCGGAAAAAGTTCGTGCAGATGTTTAAAGTAAAATTCAAATACTCTGATCTTCTTTAAAACGTAACCTTATTCAATGAAATAATCGCCATTTAATATGTAGCGTGGCAAAAGATTGCAAGAACGAATACAGTGCACTGTAACGATCCCACAATTTGTTAACTGTATTTGGATCGTAGCCAGTTCAAATGAACATGTAATATATAATAACATTCTAAATTTTATATGCAAATGATATAAATAATATTTATGTTGTAAACATTCGTTTATACGGCAACAGGTTCGGTCTCGTAGGAACCGGTTAAGAAGGAATCTACTGTACGTACATTCGATTTCATTCAAACTTTGCATATTTGTAGATCCATAAGAGAGCTATTGATTTCCGAAATCTATTTTTTACCTCAAGGCTAAAGAGGAAGAAGAGATTAAAGTGCGCATTTTGCAAAACGCATTAGTGGCTATAATTTTGAAGACGTGACGGCGAGACGTTCGAACATAACCTTAAATAAGCATACGTTTTATCAAACATTTGAAATATCTCGAGAAGTATTGATTCTTTTAAAATCATAATTTATCAATTTTATACGCGAAATGTTCCGAAGAGTCGATCTATGCAAAAAGAAATTCCATTGAAAAAAAAAGTACAATTGTCCTTTGCTCTTAATAATACGAAATAATATGAACCGATGCATTTGTGAGAAAGATCGGGACATAGTATACCAGAGCTTGTTAAACAGTGTACAATTTATTTTTAATTTCACCTGGAGCAAAACTATAGTCTAGCACAGTTGTTACAATCACACTGTAGAATCGTAAAGTACGTTTTGTGTGTTAAAGATAGACAAAGTCTAGGCTTTTGTCCCAGTGGTTAATGAAAATAAAACTAGGTGGGTGTAATAAGGGATGTGAAAGGACTTCAAATATAAAATTTTAGCTTCGTGTGCCTGTGTGTGTGTGTGTGTTACTCGCAGATTTTGGCAGATTTGTTAGGTTAGATTAGAACATGGCTTAGATTAGAATCTGTATCGTCCGAACGGGTGAATTCCCAAAGTTAAGATTTTATATTTGGATTCCTTCCGCGCCCTTCATAACAACCGCCAAGTTTCATCTCGAGCGACCACTGGGTACAATATCCAAAGTTTATTCCCGTGAAACAATTTTATGATGTACAATACATTTCAAATGATGTCGAAGCATTATTTTGCATTTAAAATGTTCATTTAGTTTGAAGACTTCGCCCCCCGATCGAACTTCTAGTCAAATTTTATATTATAACTCGAAAACGAAAAATATCCCCATGTTTTGATTTATACCGTCTGCAAGAGGATCAAATAAGACTCTTATACAGTGTTTTTATTCAAAGGAGATACCTTTTTGAGAAAAGAAAAAACGAAAATCGTATAAAAATGGCTTTTAAAAAATAAAAAGTGTGGAAAAAGTTATATTGTCAGAAATCTTGAATTTTTAGTGATTTTTTTTACACAAGGTGCATCTTGTTATTAAAAGTTATAGCTACCGATATACTTCGAGAGATGCGCAGTTTAACCCCTTCCCCTCTTTGCCCTTGAGCCTGACAAAAAACGGAGACTAGAAATCGATGGCCCTTTTGCGAATTTGTAAATTTGTAAAGTTTGAAAGAAATCGAAGATAGGTAATTTCATAGGGATTTTTATACATATAGATATGTATGTATGTACACAATAAATTCCTTTGGGCGATGTAATTATGTAAAATATTGTCGTCGAATCACTTAGATAGTATGAATGGTTAAATAAAGTTTATTTCTTTAATTTTTTTTTTATTACAATTTCGCGAACCTAGTTACTTGGACTTGAGCTACCAAAGAAAGAACTTCTTATCTCGTGTAACCGTATAATGCAGTGTATATTTAACACAACCTAACAAGCCGGCTATCTGATTGGCCAGGACGTCAAAGCAACGCCACGCCGGGACTTTAGTTGAATCAGCGTATGGTCATGTTAGGGACGGTAACGACGCATTCAATCACAGAACTTCGGGAAGTGCGCGTGTAGAGTTACTAGTTATTTGTGCATTCTTCTACTTCGTGCTGTACATCGTTATACCCGTTAAACTCTGTACAAAATAAGTTGATTTTACATAAGTGACAGGAGAATCTTTTTATAATACAAACTTTGTGAGTATAATTTAATTTCTTATAATTTCGTATGTATTTAATACGTGCCTTGATAATTCTTCATTCTTTTACTTATATTGAAATCCATTGCGTCGTTATATTGCTTAATTTTTGTTCAGCTTTAGAATCTAAAGTGAATTGTACTATATAGAAAAATCGACGGATTTTCCGCGGGAAGTAATTATATTCGCATTAGTTGTACATTTTTTTTCATTTTTAACGTGAACATTTCTTCTAACGTCTTTATTATTAAATAGTTACGGAAAAACCGGAAATTTTGTGCGTCATTCCACGTCAAAGCTACGCGAGAATTACGATTATAGTCACCGCTTTTTATCAAACTCGTAGAATTAATTAATAGTCTCTTGCAATTAATCTGTGTACAATTTTAACTGCATCTATCTCGAACGATTTACGGGATATCCAGGGCGGGTCGCGTAAAACAGGCTGCCTAGTTATTTTCTCATGCTATGGTGGTACGAGAAATGTTTTTCACACGTAATACAAATGGTTTCAAAGGGCGAATATGGCGGAAGAAAAATTGTTTTATAAATGTCACTTTTTTCTGATTTTTTCAAGGTCACCTGTTTTGTTACATGAATGTATATATTTTTTTTCTTCTATTGCATGTTGTAGCATACATTGACGTTCATTTAAACATGCATAATATACCCACCCTTAAAATTTGAATTAAATGTGAAACTGTCATTTTTTTCTGGCAAAAAAAATTTTTCTTCCATCTTATTCATCCTTTGAAACCATTTAAATTACATATAAAAATTTTCTCGTACCGCTATAGCTAGCAAATTATACTTAGGTAGCTTGTTTTAAGTGGCTCACTCTGTATACTGTTAACATTTCAACAAATTAAACGAAATGTCACCATTTCCATGCCAACATGTCACAATTTCAATATCAACATTTCGGCTGTATTTAACGATAATGTTTTGTATTTATAATTATTTCGAAGATGAAAAACTACTCTTTCAAAATTTCTACATAAAATGTTATTTTTTTTATTAAAGAAATGTAACAATAACCGATGTCGAAATTTTAAGTACCGATTTGAAACTGTTCCTGGCCTCGGATTCAATGAACTTTATTTTACATAACTCAGGGTAATCTTTATGTTTTTTATCAGTGTTGTCAAAATTTCACCATCTTTTTGAAAAGCATGTTTCACAGGGTAGGTAATTTTACCCACTTTCGTGAGACACCCTGTATAATGATTCTGTGTACTCTTATCTCTATGTACATATACATACATACATAATGGCTGCTATAGCGGTAGTGTGTGATGTTACTGTACCCAGCACGAGTAGCATATATGTATATTCGCTTGGGAGATAATATAAAGTTTTTTCCCTATCGACATGTAATATATTTATTCATTTGTTATCGTAACGGAAGGAATGTAGACCCGGGACTTGTTGCACCATACCGTGGATGCTTAATCGATTAGAATTAGGAGAAAGATTAGGGATAATCTGTACTAAATATCACTTTAACCCTCATCCGTCCCTCAGTTTTGCATCTTAATAGATCCCTCGGTGTTAATTTGACACTGGTAAAAAATCAATTAAATGAAAAGATAAATAATTAATTTTTTAAATTCTTTTATTAACACGTTAAGCGCCATGTCAGTCACAGGTGACTGACACTATACTTTCCGTTTGGACCGCGTCAGTCACCGGTGACTGACAGTATACTTTTCGTTGGTCGTCTTCTGTTTATATGTAGTTCGCCCATCGCGCAACTTGACGATCGAGTGTGGTGTGAACGGAAGCAAGTGGCTGAATATTTATATCATTAAAAATCGTGGCTGTGCCTGTAATAAGCACTATGTAAAATTTTTCAATAGAAATTTTCTGTTTTACAAGAGTTATTTTATTTTGTAAGAGTGCCATGTTTCTACAAAACTCGTAAATATTGTGGCGCTTTAAGTCAAGTTTCCAACATAATAGCCGGTGCTTTAAGCGATATCTTATTTAATACATATAAGGATATCATAAAATGAATGCCTAAATATATTACATACACTGTTTGAGATTCGTGTGATAATTTTGCATTCGTATACATTAATATGCAGTCGCGTATAAATAACGATGGAATAAAGCATGGTTTTATTTGCTTTTGATAAGATAATTTTAATCGTACGATTAAATATGTATTTCCTAATTGATACGATATTTTTTCACGTTTCTTGTAAATGCATACCATATTTTGTGGTATTTATGTAAGTCGTACTTCTAACCAGTTAAGTTTGCCTCACCATTAAGCTTTTCGCATTAAAGTTTTGCTCATATATCTATAGGTATTTAAAATACATCGTATATTTTGTTGAAGTAAGAACAATCAAAATTACACGAGTTACAGTTCGTTTTACAGGGTGTGCTTTACAAAAAGTGTGTTGACTGTTTACACGATTCCGGGCTAAAATAAAAAACTGAGGAAGAATCTTAATCGGTATAAATCTGGCTATGGTCTGAGCTAAAATAAAATAAAAATATTGATTATTTACAAAATGGCAGCATTTTGAATTTAGATTATCGCTTTTCTTCATATTTTGCCCTCTTTAGCATGTTAAAAGAATAAGAAAAAAACGACGGATATTGAAAATTTTGGTTCACACGATACCAGGATGTGCGCTGCAGATTCTCTACAAATTTCAAGTCAATTGATAAACTAGAACTCGAGATATCGTGTAAACCGTTTCGAAAAATGAGATTTCGAGGAAAACGCGTTTAAAGATTCACCTATCCATTTCGTTACAGTTTCGACTGCATCCTTCAAACGCGCACATCTAAATTAATTTTACGAATTCAAACAAATCCTCTTTTGCACGCATGTTCTAAAATACTTATGCTTTAAAAAAATGCAAAAAATAAAAAATTGATTTTTCGAAAGTTCAAAACGCAGAATACCCTCTTAAGGCCAGGACTACACGGGCGTTTTACACGCCGAAATAGAAAACTGTGTTTTAATGCAATTGACTACATAAAAAAATTGAGAAGCGGCCTGCATTATATGACGTAAAATGCAAAGAATATAGTAATAGAGATATAAAGGCTAAATTGTGGGACGAGGTTGCAAGGAAAATGTACGAAAACTGGAATTTTTATACTGAATTGATCCTTCCTGAATGTAACGTGTAAAACAGCGTGTAAAACGCATATACAGGGTGTCCCGTAACTCCTCGAACACCGGGAATGGGGGGTTGCTGAGGTGACTCTGAACAACTTTTTCCTTTACCAAAATGTTTGTTGAAGCTTCGTTTCTGAATTATTAAGGAAAAACACTGGCCAATCAGAGCGCGCGTAGAGCCCGCGCTCAGGGACGGAGAGTGACGCGTCGTCCTGCCAATCCCTGTCCACCCCTACGCGAACAGGCCCAGGGAAAGGCCCAAAGGGGCGGAGTCACCCCCACCGAGCGCGCTGGGCGTGGCTTCTAGATGCTCGCTTCACCGTCTTCGGGACGGATTTTCTCACAGTACATACTTCGGTGGAGAAAACGCGGCGCAGCGCGCTGGGCGTGGCTTCAAGATGCTCGCTTCACCGTCTTCGGGACGGATTTTCTCACAGTACATACTTCGGTGGAGAAAACGCGGCGCGTAAAACGTCCTTGTAGTCCCGACCTAACATCCGCGCGATTGATTGCTTCTAGTGGTCTGCACGAATGATAACGGTCACGAGCCGTCGTTCGACTCGTGTTTTGAAAATTCTCGGACGCGGGAGTTTAAAATTTCGTAGATAACGAACCGATCTTCGGCCGGCGATCACCTGGCCAGGTTGATGTCCTAATGACGTCACGATATCTCAAGTCACAGCAAGATAGCAATATGTCATCTGCCGCGTTGGCAGTAGGCCGGCTATCTCACGTGAACCCAAACACTCGCCTGATTGCGTGCGAGTATGCGTGTGCTTTGGATTTGATCGCAACGAGGTAAAAATGATTTCGCTCGAATCGTCGCGAGCCAGCAAAATGTCGCATCGTAAGAACTATTTAAAAGTAAAACTTCTTAAAATTAAAACGATTAGGCGACCGTGACCTCGTATTGTTCCGTTACGGACGGAACAGCTATACTTTTTTTTTTTATTATAATATGATATTATTTATTGAGACGAATTCAACGATGTGTCACGCAAAATCATTTTGTTTATGAAAAATCGTAAAATAGTAACGGATCCGAGGTTCAGGTGAACACGTGTCGCAACACCTTCGAGCAGCTATTTTTTCAGATTTTTTTGAGGGGTGTATCATACTTAAAAAAATTAGAAACTGTTATCTTTTAATTTTCCAAACGCAAAGGAGTGGCATACTCGTATAATCGACATAGTTTATTCATTAAATGGTCTAAAAAATCTGAAAAAATTGTACATTAATAACCATAACAAGACAGTAATACTGCGAAAATATAAACGTGCTCATTCAACAATTTCAATGTAAAATCAACATTTCTAAATTTTCCGAATTTTTTAAAAATCGATTTTATAGTCGAAAATTCTGAAAAAATTCACAAGCATGCACACCATTGGGTAGAATATTTATGATTTTTTTCTTAAGTTTTCATTGAACAGAACAAAAGAAATGGAGCTTATAAACTATAAATTGCGTTACGCCCTGTAACTACCATAGTGGTAGGGGTAGCATCTTGATACTTGGCAGAAAGGGTCTTCTTCGAGTGGTCTATCGATATGCGATTATATTGCTCTATGATATGCACCAAGATCAATTTGGTTTGGGGGCACGTTTACCATATTTATTCGACTTTGACCGAAAACATGCCAAAAATTTTGTTTTAGACACTTTCATTGAACACGACTGCTAGGAAATAACGAGAAATAAGGGCAAAATTGATTATGTGCAGGGTTTTTGTTTAATTTTTTAACGCTAACGAGAATAGAAGTTCCAATAACGCTGATGACACGCTACGGTAGAATTTGCACTTCGTGGCGCGATGCGGCAGCACTTTTCGACACAGGATGCGAGCAGCGCAATCGTGCTGCGTAGCACTCGGACGGTTAAGAATCGAAAAATGTTGGTTAATTGATAGAAAAGATTTATTATATGCATCTTACTTACATATATACACAAGCAACCCTTTTATAACACAGTATTATAGGAGGGTTGCCTGTAAACAAAAATTCAACATTTTAGTGTAAAATATAACCTAAAAAAGTACAATTTACAACAATAACAAGGACTTGTTTGAAATGAAACACTCTATCGATGCCCCATGCATCACTGTTATTTGAAAACATTATTGGCCTAACCTTTTTTCTTTTAACCCTTTCATTACTATTGGCGCCTATAGGCGTTTTTAAATTGGAGTCCTTTGGTACACTTCCACCTTAATTTAATACTTAATTTTATCCTTTACGCATTTCCACCCTAATGTAATAAACCGAATTTTAAAACAATACAGTCGAAATAACAAATTTTGCAGCCGTGGTTAAAAATTTACCGTCAGTCTCCGACGTTACGTCTTAAAATCTGCCGCAGCGAAAGGGTTAAAGTTTCGACAAATTAGACAAAATTATTCGACGTGTCATTACTTTAACCGTAATATTTCTACTTTGTTTAAAGATAACGCTTCGATCTTGGGCTCATTTGAAAGCTAAAGAATGGCTTTTTCCGAATATGTACATATGTATGTACATACGTATATAAAACTTTATTTATTATTAGCAAATGTAACAATAATCTCTGCTAAATTTTGGGTTCCCACCCATAGAACAATTTGAAGAAAAACCATTAAATTGGTTGAGTTTTAATCCGTAAAATAAGCTTTTTAAAATGAGATTTCGGGAATATTGAGAAAGAAAATAAAGTTTACCGTGATGCACGTCGTTTGGTTCCACGCAGGCAGGAACAGGAGAATAGATGCCGCGCATGCGCACCGCATACAATGTATCGCTTCTCTAAGATCCCGCTGGAACGCTTGTGGAATTTGTATCTTTATTGCTTATCGCAACGCACGGAATAGCCAATACATGTTGTCCAGGAAAATAATACACTGTCGCTTGTAGCTCTCTGTACTCACGGTCTAAAAGAAAAAAAAAAATAAAACTTACAGATTTTGCACACCGCTGTCTGCAAGTATCGCAAAATCAGTTCACGTTTGTCGTCATTTTGCTAATTGTTCCCGACGAGGTACAGCCAATGTAAAATTACCTCCTCGTTTCTTGATCCTTTCTCTATAGAACGTAAGTTTTAGAAATGTGGAGTAGCGCAGGAAAAAATCAACAAAAAAGAAGAAGAATGAAACTTATAGGTTATACTACCGCTCCTTATATACAGTGAGCGAAAAAAAAGTATTCATACACCGTCAACTGTCGAGTTTAAATCATTATAACTTTTGAAATACTACTCGAAATAAAACCTTCTTACGTTATTCATCGTGCATTTTATAATTAATTGTTAACTGGAGATAAAATGAACATATTTTCGAAACTACATTCTTGTAGAATAATTTGCCGTCACTTTTCATTTCGAACAGTATCGTTGGATTCCGGGTAGTGGAGTGTGTAAACTTTCAAAATCTCAGAAATAATGATTGGTGTCGCTTTTGAAGTAGCTATATTAATAGGGTTTAGAAGGCGGCATAGAAAGGGTCTAGGAAAGTGGCGAAGGCCCTAAGTGACTATAAGAACTAAATTACGATATACAAAACGAGTGTTCGCGGTGCGCTGGCGTTTACCGAAGATTGCAATGCGAGCGGCTCGCATTCATGAGTCACGTCGTGGTACAGTGACCGAAAAAAGTATTCATACACCCTATAAAATGGAATAACTTTTTTAAAATTGGGCCAAACGACTTGAGTTTTTTTGAGAAGTTAGAAAGATTAGTTTACTAGATGACGTGTAAAAAAATTTTGAAAAAAATAGCGAAGGCCGTTTTTACAACTTTTTTATCTGAACTCGTGATGAAAATTAGAGAAGTTAGAAAGATTAGTTTACTAGATGACGTGTAAAAAAATTTTGAAAAAAATAGCGAAGACCGTTTTTACAACTTTTTTATCTGAACTCGTGATGAAAATTTAAAAAATACGTTTTGTAGATCTATGTCAATTATACACACGCTGAAAATTTCATCGAAATCGGTTAATGTTGCTACGAGCTACAAACGGTTAAAGATTGTGAAAATCGCACTATTTCACGACCTTCGGCCTAGAACTGAAACAAATCTGCAGATTCTTACATCTTTCGATGCCTGTCACTTGTTTCTCCATCCACCGATTTCGATGAAATTTTCAGCGTGTGTATTATTGACATAGATATGCAAAACATATTTTTTAAATTTTCATTACGAGCTCAGATAAAAAAGTTGTAAAAACGACCTTCGCTATTTTTCTACCGACCTTCTATTTTTATAACTAATTTTTCTAACTTCTCAAAAAAACTCAGTCATTTGGCTCAATTTTAAAAAAGTCATTCCATTTTATGGGGTGTATGAATACTTTTTTTGGTCACTTGTATGTTGGTATCCAACAGTATTTCAGAAGTTATAAACAATTGGGCTCTTTCGGTTGGCCAATGCCGGTTGTTTTACTCGCAATTTCTGGTGCATTGCTTCAATTTCGACACAATATTTCTCCGCATTAATTGTTTCACCCGTCCTTAAGAAATTATAGTGAATTACACCAGCCATTGACCACCATAGTGTGGTCATTATCTTCCTTGCATGCAAGGCTGGCTTTGGCATATGTCGTGGGGATTCATCTGCATCCAACCGTTGGGCAGAACGTCGTCTATTGTCATACAGTATCCACTTTTCATCACAAGTGACAATCCGATCCAAAAACGGGTCCCTATCATTTCGGATTAACAGTGAATTGCATATGTCTTGACGTTGGAGCTTCTGCCGTTCGTTAAGTTCAAGTGGCACCCACTTGTCCAGTTTCTTTCACTTTCCCAATCGATTTCAGGTGACGTGAAATTGTCGTGGGACTTACACTGAATTCTTGGGACAAATCTCTAACTGTTTGTCGTGTATTTGCTTCAATAGAAATCTGCAACTGATCGTCGTTAATGGACGGCTCTGGTCTTCCGCGTGCTTCAATAACGAGGCTTTCATCCTCCGGCTTCGAATTTCTGGAACCATCGACGCACTGTACGTTCGTTAACTGTATCATTCCCGAATGCAGCATTTATGTTTCGAGCTGCTGCTGCTGCGTTATGACCACTTTTCCACTCATATAAAAAAAGTACGCGAAATTCACGTTGATTCATGTTTGAAAGCAAGACGAATAAAAGCAAGTTTACTCTTGAAGTTGTCATTTTAAAACATCTCTAAAGACAAATATTTACCGAGAAAATAAGGTTTAAAATATTGATATAACAGAATCGGACATTTCATATGTTACGAGCTAATACATAATGATTGTTCAACTTCCATAATATTCACACCACAATTATGCTTTTGTATCTTTAAATAGGAGAATTGTTAGTGCACATTTACCACCATTCTACATAGTTTTTTCATTTCCAGACGATTTCCATAAAGTTCGTGTTGCATATTAACCAGTTAACTGCGGAATATAGTTTTAAAAATCCCTCACGGGATGCGTAATTAAAATCAAGCAACGACGAGGATACACGTCAACCCCACCTAAATAAAGTTTTCGATTGATGTGTATACAGTAAATTCTCCACAAGTGTCAGTCCGCAAGGAACCTAAACCTGACACTTGTAGAGTCAGGGACTACGTTTTCGAGCCTCGCGCCCGCCTTTGTAGTTTGTCGAACGTAGACAAGGACAGCGAATAAAAGATAAGGATGAAACGTGAGTCGAGGCAACCAAGCGATTTAAATACCAACTTTTTTAATTTTACGTTTTTTTATCCCGAAATTTTTCTTAACATATTGATGAGATTTTTCTGATGAAAATGAGATCAAACACGATATAATTTGAACAACATTTACTTATTAACACGTTCACTGTCACGCCAGATATTTCACTGTATTGAGATAAAACAGACGCCCTGTATTACATTACATAGAGTCGGCCTACCGTTTGACTGCCAGTTGGAGAATTGGTCTGCCGTTTGACTGACACTTGTAGAATCGGCCCTACATTTTTTTTCCTGACAGCAACCTGTAAATCTGGCGCGACAGTGAACGTGTTAATAAGTAAATGTTGTTCAAATTATATCGTGTTTGATATCATTTTCATCAGAAAAATCTCACCAACATGTTAAAAAAAATTCCAGATGAAAAAAAGTAAAATTAAAGAAATTATATTTTTCTATTATGATTTGTGGAGCCGTGAAATCTCGTAAAGGAAACCAGTTGGTGTGGCTTTAAACGCTTGACTGACAGCGAGCGAGACAACATAGGCGCAGCAGTGACGCAGCCTAGGCGTAGGACCATCTATACTGACACTTGTAGAATCCAAACTGACTGACACTTGTAGAGAATTTACTGTACACGTCGAACGCAGTTAACTGGTTAATATAAAAATACAAGTTCCTGTTATCAATTATAACATTTTCTAGTTCGTTATATCGATTAAATAGCTTGCAGAAATAGAATTTCAATTTCAATTAATTACGAGCACAGTTTTTCGAGTAATTTAGCTCTCTTTAATGTTTCGAGGTTTCATAATTGTTCGAAGACTAAAATCTATCCACCGTAACGCGAATGCTTTCAACTGATAAAAAATTTCTGCTTTTGCATTAGTTGCAAATGTTTTGAAATGTATAAGAGGCTTACGTGTATGCGTTGCATTCAAGAATTATCAGAGTTGAATGTCGGGGAATTTTCTACTATCTTATCCGATGTGATGCTATCAGATTTATCTACTTATAGATAGATTATGTTCTGATAATTGTATCATAATTGCAGGCGGTCGAACATTCGGACGAGGAAATCGCACACCACATCCGCACAAGAAAACGACGTGATCTGACTACTTTATAAAGGTAAAAAAAGATCTTTTTTGTTTACATTTAGGGGGTACACCACCTTAAGGCTTGTAAAAATAGGTAAATGTTTGGAAATTGTTTTTTCTTTTTTTTTTATAGGAAACTACTAAATGGAAAGTTTCAATTTTTTCAAAGGATATAAATCTAACTTTCAGTTTTTATTCACCAATTTTTATAAAGTAAAACTGTTATAAAATGGAGGAGTTATTCGCTAATTGCGAAACCTTTTCTGCTATGTAGTTACCTATGAAAAAAGTTCCCAAACATGACCTATTCTTAGATGCCTCAGGGAGTGGTGTTAGTACCCTCTTAAATTTATTGTAACTTAATAATGTACATTAACGATAATTCTTTTGTTTTCTATTGTTCTTGATAGACGACGTTGAAACACATGTGCGATAATAGTGAACAGCACCGTTTGCAGTAAGGCTGATGTTTGACAACTAAATACGAAGAAAGGAAACGATTATAGTCCTGTTACTACTATGGACGACGACATAGGGCAGAAGCTGCAGTCGATGAATCTTAGCGGCTGTAGCCAGAATTTGACAGTGAAACAAAATATGGTTTATAAGAATTTAAATGACTATCAAAAGACGGCGTATAATGATATAAACAAACTGCTTAAAGAATCGAAGGATAAAGTTATCCTGATCGATGCACCAAGTGGAAGCGGTAAAACATATCTTTTGTGCACTTTAGCTACAAATTATGATGCGGCGGTAAAATTTGTCGTCTTCAGGAAGGACCAAGCAAGTCAAATTGCGAAATTGAAGAATGTTAATGCGTACACATACATATCCTTTAATATGCATCATTTTAATTTATCGTACAAACTTGCGATTCAAATGTTTCGCCAGCACATTACAAATAACATCAAGGAACTTTATTGGTTAATTGTATACTCGAAGAAATTTGTGACATTTGATAAGGAGGGTAGCGTTATGATTGTGGACGCGTACACTATACCTTCTCCGGTTATGTTGCTTTTGTTGTACATAGTGTCGATTAAAAATCATATGCATTTAATCTTTGCCGGAAATAAAATGCAACTGAATGCTATTTGCAAATCGACATTACATAATGAAAGCAACTTTTATATCATTCAATTATTTGCCGACTTGACGATAAATAGATTATCTGAAAATATGCGAACGTACGATAGCGTGCTAGATTATAAAATATTGCAGTTTCGTGAGAAACTTCTAAATTGTAAATCTGCTGGAGATGTTAAGTTTAATTTCGATCTTCGTTACCTTTTGTATACCCTCTTCGAAGACAAGTACAATGCCGATGAGCGCTTCGATACACTGTACATAGCTCAAAAACATATAGACATTACTGCTCGTTTGCATCGTTTCGTTCTGTATCTGAATTCAATTGGCATGTCATACGTTCAGTCACCATTTCACTATGAGCATCAACAACGCTGGTATTCTCTTCCTGTGAATGTCAGAGCTAAATTTTTCCCTTACTTACTTTTGGTAGAAGGTTACAAGTACATCTATGTTGATGTAAAAGGCGTTCACGATGTTGTTATATTGAAACAAATAATCTTCGATAGTGATTGTCAACCTTTACCACCTTGTTCGTTGGAACCAACTACTCTGTTGGTTCAATCTGTAAATAATAATTGCACGATGAAAATTGAACGATGCGTGCTTAATTACTATCAGATTTTACCAGCCTATCGGAATTGGTTGCTGCGAGATGTTGGTTTGAATGCCAATTTATCGCAATTTCCCCTGCGTCCATACGTGCTGACGTATCATGCGACGTTAGGTCGGACGATCGAGAAAGAAGCGGTAGAGCTCTGCACTGACTGTACACATGCCAACTTTATGTACGTTGGTATTTCATGTGTTCGCGAGTATTCTGCTATTCACAAAATTCACGATAAACAAAATCTTCCAGATTATGTCCTGACACATTATATGGCGAAAAAACAAAACGATAACAGATATTATTACCGTTTTCCGACGAAGGATCCCAATAGAGATGAAATTTTGAAACATATTTCTAGTGGTACTGTTATTAACTACATAGATAATATCCAATGGAAAGATGTGAAGGATGTAAGCCAATTTGAACGGCAAAAATTAGGCTCTTATATACGTATCGAACGAAGTGCGTACAACCACACTAACAAAGAAACGACTACACCGTTAATGCAAATCGTGAAATTTGTCAGAGATAATCCAAATGTGATACGTGAAGTAATTAAGAATGCACCAGTTGAAGATTTCAGAATTTTCAATAATAACATGAATAATGATAATAATAATAATGCGAAGAACAAAAACGGGAACAAACAGCAACAAAAGAAACAATACACCGAGTCAAAGGCATACGTTTACTTAAAAGATAAATATGCCGAGTGGTTCGATGCAAACGAGAAATCTGAATAAATATTCGTACAAACTTCAAAATACTTTTCTGACAATATTACTATTTCAGACAATATTTCGTAACAATTTTTATACTTGGAATGTTCAATTAGTTCACGCATAAATGTAATATTATGGAGAATGTAATCATAGTAATGTTAAACTTTTGTACTTTTTTATTTATAAGAAGAATAAGACGATTTGTTAACATTGCACAGGTGAAAGATACTAGGATCATAAATGTTTTACAGTAAAGCTAGGAGAATTTTTAGTATGCGTTTAATTAAAATGTGTAACTTGCGATAATTTTTTAATATTTATATGTTTACAATAATATAAATGAACTGCGTTATTGATTTAGTACAGCAAAGTATTATTTTGTATGGAATGATGAAAGTGAGACAACTGTTTGAAAGTTGATTTTAAATATTGAATATATGTTTATTGTTTTGTTATCTGTAGTATAGAAAGTATGTTAAGTTGCCCTGTGGAAATTCGTAAAAATTGTCTATTATGTTGATTCCTTCCGAATCTACTTTTTGTAATGTTAGGGCGTTTATTTTGTTTTTTTAAGTTTGTACAACTTAAGATTGAATGTTAATGTAAAGATGGAAATTTTAAAACTAATATGACGTTTTTAAACAGTTTAATGTTTTAAAAAGTATTGTGTAAAAGACTTATATATATATAAATTATAAATTTTATACGACTATAAACCATTATCCTTTTTTTACACTTGACTTATTTCTTTGTTGAAATGTACAAGAAATAAAAAATAGAATATTTTAAATTAGATTTGATTTACATTATTATGTTATTACAATATATAATAGGGAAAAAATCAAAAAGAATATTAAATCAGTTAAATGTGACTTGTTTCATACTTTGTCAACTTTGTAATGTCAGGTTTATAATTAGTCGTTCTTATAAAATACAGGTTTCATTGTATTCGTCGGTTAGTCGACTACGTCTCTCTCTCTCTCTCTCTCTCTCCCTCTCTCTCCCTCCCTCCCTCTCCCCTCCCCTCTCCTCTCCCCCATCACTCTCTCTCTCTGTTCTTATTCACTAGAATAAGTTGCAGAAAATATACTTAAAATAGCCAATGCGATTTTCTTGAGGTAACAAAAATTGTTTGGAATGACGTTTCAGGTTGCTAATATTTCATTTTTTGCATTTTTGTTACGAACATCTCGTAATCGATGCTGTTTCATAATTTCTGAGTCACTTCTTAAATCGACAAATTTTTGTTCCCATATGGAACTGGGTTGAAAATCTATCAACTGTAATTGCAAATTTTCTGTAATTAACGTGTCGGGATGAGTAATAAATCTAAATATTTCTTCAAACTGATGAAATTGCATAAATCTTGATCGAAAATTGATCAATAGACATTTCTACAATTTTGGAAAATTCATGCGTAAGTTTATTTGTATTTGGTTTTTCGTGAATTTACAGATCTGTCATGTGCTTTTTTAAACTGAGAAAATGCTTCAAATTTCCGTTAAAAATGTCCTGGTGAAAAATTTTTAATGTTGCTTCGATCTCAGTAATTATTAGTTTTTGGACCCATATGCTGTAATAGTTTTTTACTCAACGTTCGATAATCTTTTGAACTGCAAAGTCAAATTTTACCCATTACCATTAAAAAACTCAAGGCGACCTCGATATCCCGATAGGAAAGTGAAATAACAATGTAAACTAATTATTACATCGTGTGCTCCCCTTGACACCGTACAACTTTTGCTTGAATAATTTTTTCATACATCCAACAGTTCACAAGAGATTTAGGTGGCACACAGCTGAATCACCCTGTATACTATATTCCGGAGCAGGTAATCCAGATATACCCTTCATTTTGTCAGTCATTTCTTACAACTTAACAATGAGTGTTCCACGCGAAGTTACCGTTTGTACTGAAAATCTGACTAATCAAATTCTTCGATGTTAAACAGGAAATTCTTCAGGGTTGAACTGCAAAATGTGTTACGTGTAATATTACAGGAAATATAAATATTTATTTTCTATTATTTGTTTCAAATATCTATTTTCTCCAGCTCTGCTCTCGGACAGTGCTTTGGGCAAAACTCGGGGCAAGTAACGTCGACAATCATTAAAGCGGAGTGGGGAACAATGGTTGTGGTGGAAGCGTAGGCTCGAATAGGTTCATATTTAGGTAAATAGGCATGCGTTGGTGGTAGGTTCGGTGACGTTGTTAGGTGTTTCCCACCGTCGCTTACTTTTTTCAGCACGTAACCTATAAAAGAAATTTATTAGCTGCATTTTCGAAAGACGAGAAAAGCAACCGCGTAGGCAGTGAAGTCCTATATTTATTTGCAAGCCATCCTTATTCTTATATAATCATACAAACATATCCTGGATATTCAATAGAAAATATACTACATTTTACTTCATCATAATACAAGAAACTTCCTATGAATCTTTCGAATTTTCGCCAAGTTTTACGTGCCTTAATTATGTAAATGAATTTTTATTTCCTGCACTATTAATCATACTTTTGCAAATAATTTTTTCATTGGAACAGAAAGCTATTTTTACTGTTAAAAAATTAGAAATATATTTGTATTTAATAACTTTATAACTAATCTACCTAATAACTTAATCTAATGTATTTAATAACTATAATTGTTGTCTGTTATGTTTGTATATATCGTAACAGTTATATTCATTAACATGAATATGAATTCTAACTGTTGTACTTTTTCATACACTGTACACAATATAATCTGTTCAACAAGGCTAACAACAAGTGTTTTCTACTGTGTGGGCTGCAAATTGTTTAATACATTCTGTATTTTTATATATAGCCAAATTTTTTTCTTCTACCAACTACGAACGTCCTATTATCTTCTATCCTTCTATCTTCGAAGCATAGTTAGCATTCATAGGCTGGGTGATCACTACTACATTTATACAGTGCCTCACCACAAGATCGTTGCTCTAGCCGGCGTGTCCTACTGTTCGAATACCGCTCCGTGTTCGAATTTGTCTGACCACTTCACATAGGATAACTTCGAGACCGGCTCTGGTCTAAAGAATTGGGTATATGTAATTCTTATTGGTCCACCCTGCATAATACGAATGGGTTATCTTGAAATGTATTTAAATGCAAAAGATAAATTAAAATTAAAAATTAAATTAAATTGCTCAACACTTACTTTTCGCCTTTAGCACAACTAAAAATACACTAAAACAAAATAGAATGTTCTATCGTAATTGCAGGTAATTTTGGATTAGTATAGCATTCGTGGGATTTGTTACATATTTTACATACTTACGTACTTTACGTTGCAACAAATATCGATTGCCTCGAAGTAATACTAACTCCACGTTCTTTTTGATACTACAGCTTACTATGTGCAAAATATCCTCCACCTCTTACAATAATTATATTATTACACTCGAGCATTCACGTTCAAGCATTCTGAGATCAACATGTTAAAAATAAATCCTTCTCCAAGTGTACCCATACCGATAAATAAAAGTATATTAACGTGGTTAAATTCCATTGCATCTACATTACGAATAGAAGACATTAACTGCACTTAATATTTGCCACCAATATTCATGAAAATCCTCGATAAATATTATAAAAATTATTTATTTTAATTTATTGAATCTAATAATATTTTATAAACTCAAAAAGAAAAGTATATACAAATTTAAAAAATCCCTTGAAGTACTATATTACAGTTGTTCTAGGGTTAAACAACAGTTTGTTGAAATTGCGTCTTGAAATGTATAATAAAGTAGAAACAATGGAAATATATAGTTCCATTAAAAAAAAAAATGTTAATATTGAAATCTCTGTAAATCAAACGACTTTCGTATGAAACATTTTTTCGCATATTCAGAGGTTAGGAAAATAGTTACGTGTGTACATTTAAACCGCAACAGACTTTGTACGCGCGCGTGTGTGGTATGCTCTGTTAACAGATTCAAGTACTCGGATGTTTCCTTTTTTCCAAAGTTCCAACACAACGAATTCAAAGCTAGCAAATAATAAAACGAACAATTGTGCGTGCAATACGTAGCATTAGCCACAAGTGGTTCAGGTCAAACAAAGCTGGACCGTAAGTTAGGAAACGTTAATCGCAACGTCGGAGAAGAGTGGGGAGGGCACGCGTGTTCGCTGGGTGGCGTGTGTTTGACAGGATGGCAAGCGAGGGTGGCGCGCTGACGATTACGGGGAGGGGGAAGGCGCCGTCAGTATTCTGTGAACCACCGACGAGTGTAGTTCGTGCCTTTGCTCGTTCCTTGTTGCTTCCAATTGTCTTTTCGTTATAAACGATGATTCGCGCAGTTTGGTGATATAGCGTACCTATGTCGCAGTGGTCGATGTTCAATTTAGTTCGACAGAGTTCGTTGTTGTTGGTGGAGTATCTCGTCGCACAAAGTATAGTCGGTAATGTCGCTAATTATTAACGGCTACCGTTCGAGTAACCGTGCTGCCAATGATCGCCGTTTACATTCGTAAAGTCTGCGAAACGGGCTTCAAGACATGCGACCGTTGACGCGTACGAGCAACGGATTTATACAGGATCAGCGATTTTACGCCGCGGAGCGTGAACTACGACCTTGTTGATCGACTCGCGACGGATAAAACGAGACGGCGTGGCGTCTGTATCAGCAAACAGCGTAGCTGTGTCTCGCGTACAAACTGAAACGCGAGTGAGTGCTTACAGGAGAGTGGTGAGAGAGGCAGGATGAGTGCGAGAGAAGTCACCCTTGTCGGCGGCTCCCCTTGGGGATTCCGCATGCACGGTGGGCATGACCTGCATCAACTTCTACGCATCTCTAGGGTAAGTCTATTCATCATTCACCGTTTCACCAACGCCGATTAATGATCCTTTAAAAGTAGTTGAACCGTGTATTTCGACCGTTCAAATTACAAACTTCAAATTCATTCGTTCGGTATTTGTTATTTAAAACATGCAGCTTTTCTTCTTATTTCATTCCTTCGTTGTTCAAGCGTGTATACCAGCGTCGTTACTTATTTGTAGATGCGTTAAATCATGGTT